TGCCATTGAGCTCAAGGTAAGCAATTGAACTGTAGCATTTTTAAAACAACTTAATGTATTGCATTTGTTTAATTTGAAGTCTCCCAAGTGCAAATTATGCTCTAGCGAGCCTTGCATAAAGACTTCAAACCATCTGTTTCTTGATCTAGCTAAGGTTTGCTTCATTATCATAATTGTATAAGCATTGTATTATGCATGTAGCTACAAGACCCCGTCAATGAATTGTTTATGAAGTCATCTGATCAAGGTATTAACATTATTACGTGCATTATATATACTTTAGTGCAATATAAAGGGGTATGGTCCAACAATGCTAAGATCATTACTTCAACTTGGTTACGTGATGGTTTGAATCGAAGATGCATAAGTCGTGACTTGAAGTGGGGAACGCCAGTACCTTTGGATGGCTATACCAATAAAGTTTTCTACGTTTGGTTTGATGCACCTATTGGGTAAGCTTATATCAGACTCAGTATCATGATGATGGTACCATGCAATGCATAACAGGTACATATCAATTACTGCTGGCTACATTGATGAGTGGGAAAAATGGTGGAAAAATCCTGATGAGGTATATAGATATGATATATTTGATGTAGCTTATGCATAAACTGTAGGTCAAATTGTACCAGTTTATGGCTAAAGACAATGTTCCTTTTCACACTGTTGTGTTTCCAGCTTCTTTGATTGGAACAAAAAAGCCATATACATTTCTTGACAGCATTTCATCTACAGGTATATACCTGTGTTATAATGTATAATACATTGAAATGTGAATAAAAATTAATACCATAAATTTTGCGCTTTGGCTACATTTTTGTATCTGCAAATAAAAATTTCACAATTTTAATGTAATTATCACACCTACTATACAATCAGCATGCTAATTTGCAGATTTTAATTTCACACATATTTTCAAAATGCAAAAATCACGAATATTAATCCCCACAAAATATATGGTGTATACGGTAACGGATTGACCTAGCACAGGACTTGTTACTTAACAGTATCATATGACATGAATACTCAATGCAATTCTATTCAGCTCATTGTAACAGTACATGATATAGCTGCACCTCCAATGTTTTCATTAGTGTTGTTGCCTGACCACTCTAGATAGTTCAGTAGTATTTTAGTTAACCAATGGTATATACACATGTATGCTAAATATATAACCATCATTTACATTTACCATTGACAGAGTTTCTAAATTATGAGGATGGGAAGTTTTCTAAGAGCCGTGGTGTTGGTGTGTTTGGTAATGATGCGATTGACACCGGTATTCCGGCCGATGTGTTTCGATTTTATCTGCTGCTTGTTCGGCCAGAAACTCAAGATTCTGTTTTCAGTTGGTCCGACTTTGCCATTAAAGTTAATGCTGAGCTTGTCAACAACCTTGGAAACTTTATTAACAGGTTTGACTATTATAACTATTAGATTTCATTTAATGTAAATGAATATAGAACTCTCACTTTTTTGGGGAAAAATTACGAGCTAGTTGTGCCTCCTGTTTTTCCAAATGATGGAGACATCCATTTTTTAGAGCAAATAAATGTTGAACTTCAAAACTACATAGAGAACATGGAAAAGTGTAAGCTTCGAGATGGATTGAAGTGTATTCTAAGCATTTCAAAACTTGGCAATGGATACTTGCAGGCAGGAGAGCCATGGAAGTTACTGAAATTGAACAACAATGCAGACAAGTGAAGTATAAATTTATATTGAATTAATTGACTGAAAAAATTTAGGTTGAGAGCTGACAGTATAATTGGTATAAGTACAAATGTAGTCTACCTCTTGTGTATACTGCTTTACCCATTTATGCCATCTGCAGGGAGCGACATACTCAAGCAATTGAATGTCAGTTTTACTATTATAATAACATTAGAATTATCTG